ATATATATATACTATATATATACACACACATTCAAACGGAGGTATAAGAAAACGACATATCGATAAAAATGTCATACCTCTGATATAATGCCGAGAAGATCTTTAATAAAATTATAATTTATCTATTTAAACAAAACAATCATTAATTGTAATTTGAATAATAATTATGATTCGATTTAATTACCTCTTTGGGGATTCATGGGTACAGTATATGTGTGTTCTGGAGCATCTAAATCTACTAATACGCGCGTATTATCCATTGGAGTAGTAACGATTGAAGGTTGACCAGGAAATGAATACACATTTGCCATTTCACTTGCTGTACTGCTACAATGAAGGGCGTAGAGGGGACCTAGAAATAAAAATAATTAACTCTGGTGCATTAGTGCATCATTAAAAAGTTGTGTTAAAGACATTTATATATCCAATCTACCAGGAAATAGAATAAAGCACTTTTATCCTCTATTGATTTACTTAAAGTTTCAACAAATTATTCCTATTTCAATTTTATTCTAAGTTGTATAAAACCAATCGAATAAATTTTATTTGTATTCAAAATTTATTTGAATATTAAAAGAAAATTTATACATAAAAATTCTGTGCAAGTGCAAAAATCTTCAGGAATTTGCTTACCACCATTCAGGGAAGGGTGTTGTCTTCTGTATGGAACACATCTTCTGCATATGAGACATGACACAAGAGAGACCAATATAATAACCATTACAGAACCTAATGCTGACCCCAATACTATTGATTGGCTGAAAAAAAGATAAATAAAATAAAGGTAAATTTCATATATCGTGTTAATTGGCTCTAGCTATTTTATTTAAAAAAATTCAAGGTATAGTAGAGATCCGCATCATGCAGTAGTAAAATTAATTAATTTTCTGAATCAGTAACTAACGAGGTACACTGTAAACAATTCCGAATGAATTATGGTATAAAGTACCGGCACTTTGAATGCATCATCCGTAAGAGATCCGTGATATTTTTTTAATTTGAATGATTCAGTCTTTTTACGATAATCATTACAGTAAAAATTATGGTATCAGATTTTTTGTCCCATTACCTGTTCCGGTAAAAATGGATTTTATGGTAGAAAATACGGGCACCCTAAGTGCCGGTACTTTTTCTGTAATTTGATCCATGATTTTTTACTGTGTATAGCGTATGAGTGCGTTATGTGGTTAGGGTATGAATAGGTTACGAGGTTAGGGAATGATTAATTATCAAATTTCTTAAGAGCTAAAAGGGATTAGGTTTGTACTCCGTTACCATTGCAGTGTTAGTAATTTCAAAATAGATTGCATAATTTCATGTGAGACTTTTTACTTGATATATTCAGAAGTACGTTCTTTAGAGTGTAAAAAAAGAGCTGTGTAAAAAGAGAATTCTAGCATGTAAAAAGAGAGTTCTTTGAGAGTAAAAAAATTTCGTGTTTCTGATCACCAAAAGTGATGGCAACTACCTTACACCAAAGTAGTGTTCTACTACACTAAAAGCCAAGGATGTTCCTGGTGATGAGAATAACCTAGGACGTTCTTTTACTTTACTTGATGTAAAAAGTATCTGCCACCAACCATCATGTTCGTAACTACACTAAAATTTTTAATTACAGTAAGAAATGATATCCATAAGGATAAGTTAAGCTATTTTTATGAGACAATATGAAGTAGGAATCGGAAATTTAGGCTGTAAACTTGCACTAATTCTTAGAATAAAATGAGTTTGTAAATCAAATATACGCGTAGCTGAGAGAATATTAAGACGAATTCGAAAAGAGGCTTGACAGCGCAGGAGCGGATTGAACATAATAAAATTATTTAAAACAGTTTACAGAGACATGAAAATTAAAATGTAAACCTATACTGTTACAAAACTAAAAAACATAAATACATATTTTTAACGAGGAATTTCAGTATTTGTAGATGAAAAGCAACATTGAAGATAGCCGTAAGTAATTGCCAACTCGTTATCGATTGTAAAAAATATTACAGATGAAAACAAAACTCGCCGATTTTATAATTTTCGGAGGAGAAAATATTTAACGTATGTTGCAAAGGTTTGTGATCTCGATTTAAATGTTTTGCATTTTCGATGTTTCAAGCCTTCATACACCCTTTAAATTGTCTATGAACGATTTATTTGATGTTAATTTGAAAAAGAGTTCCCCCATTTACACAACTTTTAGAGTTCTTTACCGTGAAATTCGAAGAGATATTACACCACAGTTTTTAACGTGTACAGACATTTTTAATTCCTTTGAATTGAAATCATAAAAACTGTTCGATAATATTTTATATTTTTAGTTTTAATTTGCTTAGTTTTCCTCAGGAGCACTGCAATAAACTTCCTAAAACTTATACAAATTAAAAATTTACTTTCAAGAAACTTTAGTGAGCTTGTTGTTATGAATAGATAAATAACAATTTGTTTCCAGTTTGTATGTAATAAAGGATATACTTTGCCTTAAAAATCGAAACATTTTGAAGTAACAGTTTTTATTCAAAATCTATTTTCAGTAACAAAAGAATCCAAGATTAATATCCTTAATGTTTAATTTTTTTCACAATATATAAATTGCACCTAGGCTGTTCAATTAATTGCATGATTTACTTACTATACTTTTCACCTAAAAGCAAAACATATCTAATTTAAATTTCCAAAAATTGATCGCTTGATATAAATTAGGTAACTCTCTCTCTGCAAAAACATTTTGCACAAAATATTAAAATATTCCAAAGGAAGAAATATCTTTCTCTCAAGAAAAATTTGACTTCCATTTAATAAGAAGATAGTACGAAATTTTTTGAAATTGAAATTTTTTGTCTAAAAAATTCATTAGAGCTTTTAATACTTAAGAACCTATTAACCTTTAAGAACCTATTTCGTGTATGTATAATAAAACTACTCACTTGGTTAAATGAATTCTTTTATTTTGAAATATAAAATGAAAACTAATTAAATTGTTAGGAATAGTTTAAAACAAAGCATATAAATGGGAAGAACATTTTTAAATTAGGGCTTTAAGAAAACCTTGCTCAATGTTAATTTTATGTAAATAGGTGCTTTGCTTTATATCTTATTAAAATGAAATTGCTTTTAAATCTAAACTCAGCTGATATTGTTTTTACGTAAAATATATTGAACCAAATAACACGTATAGGATTAAGTTTATTAAATCCAAGAATCAATTAAAAACGTTTGGAATAACTGAAGTTTCGGTTACTGAAAATTTATGTATCATTATGAATTGAAGTTAATTAAGCACTAGAGTTTAATTTTCTTGTATTTTACTGATCGATTTTGAAATTGCATTGCTGTTATGAGTGTTTAGTTGTCGCTTGATAGAGTTGCAGTGCAAAATTAAATACTAATGTAATTTAGTTTTGTTAATCCCTTTAAATTCGAAAAATTGATTGTGTTATTCTCTAAAGACGAAGAAAATGACATAAATTAATCGCACTTTTGAAGAAAAAAATTCTTTTTCTGTTTCACATTAGGTAATGTTTAAATTTAAGTTATTTGGAACATTCACTTATTTTAATTGGATAATTAAATTCATAAAATTTAGAAATTTTCTGCTTCTCATTAAAATGATGTTTTTTTAAACAATAAAAACTTGATAGAATAAAAGTAAAGGCTCTCTATAGGACGCATTCCATTAAGACAGAGGCATTTAAGAAAAAAAAAAGAATAATCGTCCTAAGATAAAAATTACTATTTATAATGAGTCTATGTCTCCAAAAACAAATATGTAATTGTAAGTGAGTTTAAAATGAAAGAAGAAAAGAAAAAAAAACAAATCTACAGGTATAAAGTAAAATAAAACAAGAAATGCATTACAATTAAATTGAGTAATCGGTGAACAAACTTTGCGAAGAAGAAAATAATGTATGCCCTTTTAGCTTTATTGTAAAAAATAGTTTGTAAAATGTTGCAAATTAAATTTCAGTGCTGCCGACTATAAAATACTCTTTAAGAATAATAATAATTGGAACTTTAAGTAACAAAAACTTAAAAGAGTAAAAGAAATTTATAAAAGTCAATAAAGCGCAGAACTTTGATTGCAAAATCCTTCAATATCTATGTCATTCAATAGATATTTATTTTGATACATTTTAAAAAATTATTTATCATGTTTAATAATAATATGTCTAAATTATAACAAAAAAAATTGTTATAGTAGGCATAAATTCTAACAAAATTATAGAAACATAACACGCTGTTGCTAGTCATATTCTGTGTTATTGTGTGTTCTGTGTTGCAATCGTAATTTTTTTTTTTAACCCTGAATTTGTCACTAATATGCTTAAAAAGGGTAACACTTCTGGCACAATCTTTTCATTTTAGTTTACTCAAATTTTTCCATACATCTCATTTTCAAGCATTTTTTAATGTAATAAGTTATATCAAAGCTTTCCAGGATTGAAAGATTCGCAGAAATAGTTTATTAATTGTAAAAAAAAAATCATAATATAATTTTATTGAATTTCTTACAAAAGAAGTAAATTTGAAAATTTTTCTATTTATTGTTATTTTCCATTATAGCCAAGACTTATTTGATTAATAACTCTAAAAATATGAAATCTAAAACAAACAAAAAAAAAGCATCAGAAAATTCACCTAATCCCTGATCCTGTGTGTTGGTCTCTCCTTGTGCAGCAATATTTGTAGGTCCCAGTTCCACAGCAGTAGACTGTCTCCCCATTACCAATACGAGGGCAATCAAATCCCGTGTTCCATTTTCCAAAAATATCTGTGTACCCAGAGCAAAAATCCACTCCCAGCACTAAAAAATAAGCAATATTATTCAGAATAGCAAGCTATTCAAAGCAACTAGTTCTTTTTTGTGCAATCCGTTTCAGCATAAATATAAAGACATTTATTAATACATGCAGTATGTGGTCATATTATTAGACGCACTATAAGATTCTATGTAAAATTGTAATTATCAGGTGATACTATACAGCTGTATTGTTTTTACTCGGATGAAACCGGTTTACATTTGTTTACGCTCCTGTATCAATTGGTTAACATCGTAACTCTAAAAATAAATTAAAAAAATACGTATACGAGGGTTGCTATTTATATTTCTGGCCTTGGCAACAGTAAGTGTTGCTNCCGGTGTATCCCTCCGCTTATGTTATGACTACGAGGCGATGTGTGAACAAGCCTAATATTCTATGCAGTTTTGTTACTGTAATTTGAGTTCAAATCTAAACATAATTGTACCATTCATAAGAGCTTTCAGAAATGCATTGATTCTCAGAGGTCGTAAGGCCAAAAAAATTTTTGGAAAGTCAATATCTCAGTGTGAATAATTCTTAAGGTATGCCATGTTTTGTATTTTATCCCTTATTTGGCTACATTTGAATAAAATGTCGCCAAAAATATCTTAAAAAATATCTTTTTAAGTTAGCCTAATTAGAAAATATTCTAATGATTATAATATTATGATAATGCTGAAGTTTAAAGACTGAAAGAAAGAACTCGGTACATGTGGAATAGTGCAAAAGATATGATGCAATAATATGATGACGCGTTTTTTCAATCTGCGGCGTAAAAATATATCGGAAGCAGTAACCCGGAAGTCTTGAAAGAGCAATTATACCACTAGCGCCACCACCCTTAGCTTTACACGATCACTAATCCATAAGATTCTATGTAAAACTGTAATTATCAGATGATACTATACAGCTTTATTGTTTTTACTCGGATGAAACCGGTTTACATTTGTTTACGCTCCTGTATCAATTGGTTAACATCGTAATGCAATACGTTAAAAAAATTTAAAAAAATAGGTATATAAGTATATAAATAATATCCTGAATAAACACCCATTACATGTATGCTTCAATATAAAAGTATTGCATATAAACTTGTGCAAATCATGCAATTATCAAAAAACTACAGTGCGTCTAATAATTTGATCTAATTATTATAATATACTAGTAAAATGCTTGATATAATAAATATTCCATATTTATATAATATACCGTCTAATTTATCCTATCGTCAAATTTATATTATATGTCGTGTAATTTAACCAATCGATAGACTTAATGTAAACAAGTGTAAACTGGTTTCAGTCACATAAAAACAATGAAACTGTATAGTACAGCGTTTCTCAACCTTTCAGTATTCACGGCCCAGTTTTCAATAATAATTTTCATCGCGCCCCCCCCACTTACAGTAAAATGTATACAACAATAATGTATATTGAGTATTTTGAATTCTGCCTTTAAATTATTTTTAACTAACTGCCAAAACAAAAGTAAAATAAAAGCCAGCAGCTATTGAGATTGTAGAAACTGTGTTTGGAGTTAATTTTTCAAAACAATTACAGTCCATACCTCTTTCAAATGATACTGTTGCTTGTCGAATTGGTGATGCAGCTGAAAATGTAATGTCAGCTTTTCTCGATGGTGCGTGACAAAATGTTTTCAATACGGTTTGATGAGGCAGCATGTATTAATAAAGATGCTCATTTAATTGCCTATGTTTGATTTTGTGATAATATGTCAGCAGCAGAACTACTTTTCTGAAAATCCATAGAACTCAAAACATCAGCGCTAGCATTATTTACTGTTTTAAATGATGTTATGAATGAGGCAAACATAGAATGCAATAATAGCATCGGAATACCGATGGTGCTCGTTCAATAGCCAGCAGGTTCGAAAGTATACATGCACTTGTAAAACCAAAATCGCCACAATACGTCTGGACACATTGCATGATCCACAAAGAAGCTTTGGCTTCGAAAGAAATGCTGGCTTAAATATTGTGTTAACTACGGTTGTAACTGTTGCAAATTATATAAAAATGAGAACCCTAAGATCGAGAATCTTTTCCGCTCTTTGTAACGACATGGGCTCAGTACATTCAGAGTTACTATTTAAATGCTGGGCAAGATGTTTATCACGTGAGAAATTTTTGCAACGTGTTTATGAATTAAGAGAAGAAATCGCCATTTTCCTAAAAGAAGATAACAGAACGGAAACCGAGAATTTTCACTATTGTTTATTTGCGATGAAATTGAGCTACTTGATCGTCATATTCGAGAAATTAAATAACTTGAATCTTCAACTCCAATGAGCAAATACACATATGTTGGATACGAGTGATAAAGTTAATGCTTTTTGTGGAAAATTTGAATTGTGGGCAGAAATTTAAAGCAAAAAAACTTAACAATGTTTAAAAATGTGGATAATTGTACTAAAACTTATAAGGCAGAAGAAGAACATGTAAAAGTTCTTTTTGTAACCAGTGAAAATCACTTAGCCATGATGGCAAGGAATTTTAAAAAGTATTTTCCTGCTGACGACAAACTTATTGCAAGTTACGAGTGGGTTAGTAATCTCTTTCATAAGACTCCCGAAGGACTCTCAATTGATGAGGAAGAAAAATTCATAGACTTCACGACAAGTGGCGAAACTGAAATGCAATTTAGTAATAAATCACTATTTGAATTTTGGCAGGAGGAGGATTTTTCTGCACTGAAACAAAGGGCATTTCGCATTCTATTACCGTTTTCAATATCCTACCTTTGTGAAACTGGATTTTCTGCTGTGGCTTCTTTGAAGACAAAATATAGATCACG